GCGGCCATTGCGGCCTACCACGCCCCTCTCGGTGGCCATTCAGTGGGAAGACACCCTCTTCTTACACGTTTCCTCCGCGGTGCGCTGAGGCCGAGGCCTCCGGCCAGAGAAGCTTATGCTAAGTGGTGGATCAGGATGCTATTACATAGCCTCGAGTCCTCTGATCTCCCCTCTCCTTTGTGGGTCAAGGCTCACTCCTCCAGAAGTTGGCCTTCGGGACGGCGGGCCCCGCCTACTTTAGCCACTCCTGGCTCCCCTTTGTGCGCGACCAGGAGATGACCAGGATCATGCATTCAGGGGGCATGGCTTTGGACGGCGATTTGCAGGGAGCGTGGGACGTACGCTTTCAGTGCTATCAGGCTAAAGTTAGCATTTTCTAAGATCTCCTACTGCACCTTTAATTGTTGATTATGAATAATATTTATTCATTTTAATCATATGCAGCAATAAACAGTAATGTATTACTGTCTTAACATATATGGAAAAATGTAATTGAGAGGTTCTTGTGAACATTTCTGGTTAATAATGCAAACAAAAAGTTTGAACAATATAAATCAGAGTTTTGAACTGAACAGTGAAATGATTCACTGAAATCTCAAATATAAAGCACTCATACTCACTGGACACGAGATTGTTAATAATTGTGAAACTAGTCTAACAGCACCTGTGATAGCCAAATGAAAAAAAAAACACATTCAAATCATTGAGATATTGTGGCTTAATTTAGTAAAATTCTTGAAATTTTATCATGAATATTGGATGATTATGGGCCAGCCCTACAGGGAGGTTTTGCACAAACTCATCCTGATTATACAAGAAGTTGCTGTGTTGCCCATGAGCATCGCTCACCTGCTGACACGCATGTTACAGCCAACAAAGCCTCTCATTCAGAACACAAACCTGCGGCTTGTTTGAAAGCTTGCCTCTCAATGCCTGCCATACCAGTGTGCATCATGTGACCTTTGCAGATCTATAGTTGTGAATAAAAGTGGATGACAACACAGTGTAAGCCACGTCTAATTGGAGCACAAACAATAGAGAACAAGCAATATGACATTTATACAAGGTACAGTTGAAAACAAAGACAACTCTGTCCTTCAAGCAGTTTATATTACATAAGGCCATGTCAAATATTCACAATATGCTTGTGATAGGTGTGCTGACATTATATAATTAAACAATGCTTTTTATTTATCCGTTAAGTTTGCAAAGACCCTAAATAAACCTAAACATCACTCAAAAAAAAAAAACATTTAGAAGTCTCCAAGTGATATATTAGAAAAAACGTGTTCAGTTAATATCGCAAATGTCATGCTGGTTCATATACATGTAAAATAAATTTATAAATAATCTTTTTAAATTCATTTAGTGAAGAAAGTAGATGGGAAAACAAGGCATGATTGTTGCAACTAGAATTTTACTGTATTTTGCTTCTTGCAAATAAACACTGGCATTATTGGCTGTCGAGTTGAAATGATGGTTCATCTGGTTGAAAAACAGCCTTTTAGCCATTTCAGAAAAAGACATAAACTTTGACATGTATCTCCGGCAGGTCCGGCCCTGGTTCCAATACTATAGTATTTACGGGACATGTCCTGAATACAGCTGAAACAGCCTTGAGTCTATCTGCTTTACCATTTGTCAGTGAGTGTGAGACATCTGTCAAACCTCAATTTCTAGAGACCTTTTGGTGGCGAGACCAACAAAACCACAATCCACCAAATGTGAAAGCAATTAAACACTGTTACTAATAGCCAATCAATATCTTCACTCTGTAACACAATAAACAGAAACATCCCATAATGGCCTCAAAAAATGACTTTGCACGTGCTTTAGGCTAATGTTTGCATCATTTAGATTTTCATTCTAGTCCCACAATGTGATGGAATCAGAGAGTATGGTATTTTGATACCAATGACTATAATATTCATATATCATGATATTGGCATGGTACCCCAATGCTCACCAAAAAATACCATGGTACATGCCCTAAAAAAACACAGTGCCTTATTCTTTAAAAGTCTGGGAACGGTGAGAATACAGTGGAGACTACGGTGACTGCGGGGTGGAAAATTACAGGCTTAGACCAACCCTGAGACAATGTGTCTTACAGTAAAATAAACTTAAACAGAACGTTAGTGTTTAAAATAGCGTGTTCCTCGAAACACAATGTAGCGCCAGACAGTCTCCATCCCGTTGAGTTCAGCCGCTGCGGTGATTCGTCGCCATCTTGGGGGGCGTTCACACACAACGCGTTCCTCTCAAGGGAACGGAACAGAACGTATCTACCGACATAACCGCAACTATTTATTGAGTCACGTTTTAAAGAAAGGCCGAAAGAAATATCAAACGCATTCAGACGTCAGAAAAATAATTTTCTCCACACACACCCAGTGAAAACAACACGGCTTATTTACTCGATGAAAACCTCGGGTAAGAGTGAATCATAATTCGGAATCAATTGGAATGAGATCCTGCTGGATAAAACTTAAACTCTTATTTTCCCGTTCCAGATTATCCAGCAGGAGCTCGTTTGATTCCAAGAGGATTCGTGTTTGATCCCATCATGATCTCTGTTGTTTGATCCCAACCCAACAGGCCACTGAACACATTCCTCCATTAACAAGCTGGATCTACATCAAAAAGAGTCATTATAAAACAATATGTAATGTATAGAATGTATTGTATTGTATAAAGCGCTATATAAATAAAGGTGACTTAATGTGATCACTGAATCAGCGAATGTCACATTATGTTCGAGTGCAGCGCACTGGCCGTTTAGACGGCACTGCCACTCACTATCCCGTTCAGCCTGACAGTTTGTTTATTATTTTTAATTAGCGCATCTGTTACACAATATTTGTTCATCCTTGATGTCGGATTTAAAACACCGCTCATATACAGCGCCCGATCGCACGAAACGTTCCGCAGAACGCGTATTAATGTTCGCGAGAATTTACTAATGTAACCGAAAAAAATCTTTACACAAAAAGAGGAAACCAAATTCCTTATGTAACATTCTAGGACTCTAAACAAGAGCATAATCGTTAAATATTACACCTTATTCTGGTTTAGAAACGACATAAATAACAGAGAGATACATCGTCGCGATCTAATAAGACTATGGCGGCTGTATTTCGTTTCATCGAAGTGCAGCTGTTCTAGTGTAGTTTATCTATCGTTGCGATGATGGTTAGAATGCATCGCTTGATCGTCTTTGATCAGCGTTCGGCGTCGCTACGATCTTTTGTCGCTTTCTTACCTCAACAGCGATCGTCGATGTCGCGGCCATCAGTAATATGAAAACCTCTCGACACCCCATTCTGCTCCTCTTCTCCGTTCTTCTGACAAATAGCGCTGGTCTGTATCGAGTAAATTATCCGTTTGGTGTAAAATGTCGGTGTGTGAATCGTGTCAGCTCTGAGAAGAATGCGATGCGCCTGCGATGGCGAGTCAGTAGACTACAGCGCGTCACCTGACCGGGCAACGAGGGAATGAATGTAGGGAGGAGGAGCAGGAATACTGACTTACACTCAAAATACTGGGAACTACAATTAAAATAAAATCAAAGATTACACTAACTTCTTTTAAAATTATTTTTCTTTTAATTTAAATATATTTTATTATTTAATTTATATGTATTTGCATATTTATTAGTTTTTTATTACATAAATTATTATTATTTATTTCAGCTTGTCATTATTTTTTTTTAATTTAGCCTTTTGGCTTATGAGTAATAACAAAAATATTTTACTCTTCAGTCAGCTATCTGTTTTCCAATCAATGTTTATATTTTGTTGCTTAATTTAAATTTTATTTGTAATTATTTTATTTTTTTAATGTAATCGGTGTTTTTTTTTTACTGTATCACTATGTCGTTATTGCTCATCTAATACATACATTTTAATTTACATTCATAAAAAGAAACTAAAAACATTAAATGTTATCTTGTCTAGATTATGTTCAAACTGGAGAATTTAATTATGCTAATTTCTATTATTTGCTGCCACCGTGTGGACGTTCATCAAACATTATTATAACTGTAATATTAGTACGGGTCAGTAAATTCTCATGTAATAATTTAATGGACAGAGCGATATTCTGTATTTATTATTTTCAAGGGTTTTCTGAATGAAATCTATTTATATTTTAATGTAATTTTATGCATATGTGTGCAAATTGGCTTTCAAAGGCCACGATGAATAAACCATTTTGCTAACAAACTGTATTATAGCATATGCATCTCATTGCAAAAAACGAGCATGCGGCCTTTAGTTTTATTATGAAAGGTAAAAACAGACATAAAATGAGTAAATGCTTTGCTGTTTGGACACAATTAGTGGTTTTCTGGGAACAGTTAACTATATCTGGTATGTTTTTATAATAGCTAGTAGCCAATTACAAATACAAGTTGCTCTTTCAATTTTCTATGAATAAATACATTTAGCATATTATTTCCTCAGTTGATTTGAAAGTAATCAAGACACTCAGAAACATTGTAGGTATAAGAATATAATGTTACTCTGTACTGTACAACACATATGAAGTTTACTCCCATATTAACAGTTAATTTCACTGTATTTTAATTTGACATTTAAAGAAATAGGCTAACACTGATTTCGAACAAACCGCATCACAAGAAAATACATTTACCAAATCACATTTTTTATCTTGAGTTTTTAGGCCTGTCCTGGTCTCCTGTTGCCTAATAATGTTTATTAGTGTTCTTTAGATTTGTGAGACCATAAATGTCCATGCCATGAATGAAAATAGTCAAATCCACATGTAAGAATCATCTTTGCGGCTGGTCCAGTGAGTGGAAATCCCTGCTTTATTGACAGAGCACTGGCAGTCCAACACCAGTTTGTGTTGTTTTCATTGTGTGCATTTCATAGTGCAACTTTCATCCTCTCAGAATCAGGCACATAAGGAGGCTCATTTGCGGCTGTAGCCTGGATAAGGTGGAGGTGGAGAGTAGTTTGCCACTCTGGGTGGAGTTGGTGTGTATGGAGGCGGCCGTAGATCAGGAGGGTACATCTCATAATCATAGCTATAAGGAGGTGGAGGACCTGAGAAGAATAAGACAGAACTTATATTATCTTATAGTATTATGCACATTTTGATTTAGAAATAAACTTAAGTTTTTTTTTGTTTTTTTGCATGTTTAATTGTTCAAAATATGTAAACTTTATATAATAAGTGATATAGACGATACAATATGTCAGCTTTTTTGTTTTAATGTTGGTAAAGGGTTTGTAATTTCAGAAAAAAGAAGGTTGAAAGGTTGTTTCTGTAGGTTTTATGAAGGTAAAGACCTTTTTAAGACCAGGTAAAGAACATTTAAGGAATAAATTGAAGGAAAATGTCACGGTTTCTTAGTTTGGGCTCTGTGTTTCATCACCCTTTGCCTTAGTTTGTTTGTTGTCACGGACACTCATTATGTTCAGCTGTGCACTCATGAATCACTTCATTATCACCTGTATTTAAGTTCTCTCTTTTTCAGTTCATTTTGTCCGGTCTCGTCAACTCTACCCTGTGTTTGTGGATTACCCGTGTGTTGGATTAAAGACTTTCTAAACCTTCATCTTTGTGTGTTTATTGACAGCGTAGCATGACAGAAAAACAATAGATCAATATATATATATATATATATATATATATATATAATTTTTTTTACAGTAAATGTAATTGTGCTGCATCAGAAAAATCTACTTCATTCAAAGGGAAAACAAGTTTTCATTCCCCATTGACAGATATTTGTTCTTGTTTTAATCAAATTTTATATCTTCATTGTTCATGATTTAAGGATGTTTAGACATTGTACTGGAAAACAAAACAATATACTGAGATATTAATTTTCTGCCATGATTTTATGAATTTAAGTCTTTCTTCTTTAGATTTTTTTAAGGCCTTAATCACTCTTAGAAAAAAAGGTACAAAAGCTGTCACTGGGACAGTACCCTGTTAAAAGGTACACCTTTGTACCCTATTTATTTACCCTTAAAGGCAGAGTAAGTGATTTTTCAAAAACACTTTAGAAAACTGATTCGGGCCGAATCGCAAAACAAACTTGTAGCCAATCAGCAATAAGGGGCGTGTCTACTCGTGATGTGGAGGAGAGCGCGTTCAGTGCATGGGACGGACATCAGCCGAGCTGAGCGACTGAAAGATAGAGATGGCGGATAAAAAACAAAAGAGGAAAACGTCTGCGGAACGATAAGGCAAGAAGTAGGACCCGTGTAAATATCGGATCAGCTTTCCAGCGCTGGAGAGAACTTAAGGAGCGGAGGCCTGCGATCGGACGCCGAGGTTGCTTTGTTTCTTCTCAATAGGTGAGTAACACTGTGTCTACAACAGCTAAAGTCTGCCTACACTGGACGCGATCAAACGACCGTTGAAAACCATTTGAAATTTGTCAGCACGTCATAAATAGAACCCGGCAGCAGTTTTCTGTCGGGGATTTGTTGCTCCGCGCCGCTCACGTCCGTAGACACGGTGTAACATTGGTTTTGCTTTGTTTCACAGAACTAATCGTTGCCTGGGTTGCGTACGTATATGTGGGGCGGAGCTATCAAAATAGGGGCAAGACCCTTTTGGGGTAGGGGCGTGTTTGTTTTGGTGATTTCAAATATCAACATTGGCTACCAGAAATCACTTACTCTGCCTTTAAAGGGTGTATATTTGCATATTTAAGAGTGATTGGTGGAAGGGTGAATTAAGAACTTTAAGACCTGCAGAAACCCTGTGTTAACTTGATGAAATATTTTGTGTATGTAAAAAAACATGTTTTTTTGCCATTTAAAATAAATACAAATAGTCCATAAAATACGAAAGAAATTTATTAAAAAAACCCCCCAGCAATACTGTTTAAGAAGCAAATTTTGGAAGCAAATCGTGAAAGTGATTGAAAATCATAAAAAGTCAAGTCACGTTTTTTTCTATAGCGCTTTATACAATGAAGATTGTTTCAAAGCAGCTTTACAGTAATAAACAGGAAAATATCAGTGTTAATGTTGCAAAATTAATCTATAATGAAAGAAATTCAAAAGTAGCTTATAGAAAATATTATCATTAGTCAGTTCAATGTTTATTCAGTTAATTAGTTGATTCAGTTCAGTTCAATAACAGTTTGATGTTGCAAAGTATCATTACTTAGCTAAAATTCAGTTAAAATTGTATTCTCATCCGATAGTGTCAGTGCAATAAAATCGATAATATTACTAATAATATAATTAATTGATTATAATTGACAAAATACTGTGTAAGTTAAAATGATTGAATCCACTCAAATGATCCCTTGTGTCTGACAGTATGCTGGTTTTAGTTAGTCAGCTCTAGTGCGCTGTGTGAAGGCTTTTGTGTGTTGTTGTGTTACCTGGGTAACCCTGAGTCACAGTGTTGATATATGATGAGCTGAAGACGCCAACTCTCGCCCCACGCCCGTTCTTCACACACATACAGATGCACAGAAAGATGGCGGCCACTGCACCCATCAAAAACACCACACCAAACACGATCCCTGAGATGGCTGTTCCCCTGAAAAACAAAACCATCAGCAAAAACTGAGACTAACATGCACTACACTAGTACTAGTGATGCTTAATTTATCAAACACTAACTATCTGTTTCACGGCAGGATGAACTCAATATGTACATTCATCCAGTGTTTTTGTGGAGTCAGACCACCCATGCTCATATTTATTTACCTCATGATGGATCCCTTTCATTTGTGAGTCAACAGTGATCCGTCTCTTGTGTGAACAGGCACCTGACTAAACACGTCTTTGTTGTGGCACAAAAGACCAAATGTGTTGGTTTTCAATTTTCATTTCAAGTTTGGATTAATGTGGGAGTGTAGAGATGTGAGTTCAGAATGATGCCCTGAGGTTTGGTTAAGATCCAACCAAAGGATCTGAGATGCTCACGCGTGAGATTACTATGATCTTTATCTGAGGAGAAATATCTGAAAAACGGCAAAAGCCCAGGCCAGTTAACAAAAATACGTTCCCATTACAGTTTTTTCAATTGCTAACAAGCGTTTACCAATACGTAACATACTTTTTCTAAACTCTTAACACAGCAACACACCTACATCACACAATTAGCCAAATAGTTAATTTTCTGGCCAAAACCACATTTTGTTAAATAAATACAAACTCTACATTTCAAAATGCTGAATACCTTTTTCTACATATACTAACTCTATCAAAACACAGCAAACCCGATTCAAAATCGAGTCATACGGTCAAAACATTAGCACTACTTTTCTATCCAACAGGAGCATATAGTCAATCATAGCACAGTGACTGTCAAAATACTAACAGTTGATGACTTTACAAAAATTCCATTACTTGTCATGTTTCAGTTCTAGACAATATAAAAATCCATTGTTTTTTGTAATTTAGTTACCTTCAACTGAAACCCATTTTACATTTTTATTTGTTGAATTTGTTCATTCTTGGCAACATACTGTCTACAACTGAATGAGTCATTACTTTATAGAATGTACAATAGAAAAAAAGGGTCCCCTATGCAGAAATTCAATTGGAACCTTGATTGAAATTGCTTTCCAGTGGGT